TATTAAAGATAACCTTCGCTATGATTCTACCCTGATCAGGATCTATACTAGATCTTGAATCCCTTTGGGCTCTTCCACAAGTACTCATCCAATTCATCATTTTCCACACGCCTCCCACATTCGCTGCCTGCGTGGACTTGTGGTTGTGCCACTTATACCATAAAGGTTAAACAATGTGATGGAGGCATCGTTTCACACCCAGAACACTAAATACGTGTGCGGTACTCAGGTCCGAGTTAGTGGTAAAACACCCTCCCTCAGCCAACATCCCCGGGTACAAAATGATGCCAATCTTCCAAACTGTAATGCACCCACCTTGTCTGCATGGTACTTTCATCCTGTTAGAACAGAAAAATTAGGAATGAGCTTCAATTTTTGAAATAATTATGAGCAGACTTAGTCCTTAACAAAGAGGCAATATATTAAAACAAGAATGTTATTTCAGTTAGATACCCCTATCTGAACTAAAAATAAGGTGCGATTCAGGCAAATGTTTCAGTTGTTAGCACATGCAAGGAGTATCTCGCCAAAATCCAGTCTTTATGACTTTGCTTTAACTGCCTACCTTCGTCAGTTTCCTCCACTGCAATTCGGTGGACAAGGGATAATCTTGTCGCCAGGACAAGGAGTCACAAGCACAAGAAAGTGATGTCGCCTCTGGTGGAATGTGGACGTACATTGCGAGATTCAGGCGCTATTACGAGTGCTGCAAGTGGACAGTGAAAAATGTCCCTGCGGTGCACATTAGCTCTTGAGTGAAGAGGATCAAACAACTAAAAATAGGCAGAATATGGCACTTATTGTCACTCAGTAAAGCTCAGGTCACACTGAAATGACGCCATATTTTAAAAGCACCTCGAGGACAATAGTGTGACACAGCAAATTGCACAGGCATCTTAGTTTTGCAAGCAGATGGCGTACACAAAAAGAAGATTAAAAGATGGCCTCCGAGTTAGACAAGTGAACACTGTGTGAGGCACGCAGATTGAGACTGCTCATTCGTCGCTAATTTGACAGGGTGAGTTAGACACTCTGCAGACCATTTCCAGAGCCGATCCTTAGCACCTCTGCAGTTAGTTGAACATTGGGCAAGATGGGTGTTTGACCTCACCAATAAAATTGAGCAAGGGTGTTCCTACTTCATGCCAGGCCTTGTGTGTTGAAGTAAGCACAAACCTCTGCACTCAGTCTATTTAAACAACAATCACCAAACTGCTCCGAAGCTGCTGCCCTGTAGTCATAAAAGACAACAAAGAGCAAACACTCAGGTTGGCTAACCGTCGCTGAATGAGTGAAGTGAAGAGCTGTGGCATGTTTGCATTGTTCAGGACTTTGCAGAGAACGTGAGAGACCTCTTCACACTCAACAAGACCACCGCCTTCGGCAGCAAAGTGGAGAAGCGTCAAGAAAAGATAATGGAGAAAGTCGAAGAGATTGCAGAACGCTCAGAATTTGTGCACAAAAATCAAGGGTGGATTTGTTGCAGCTGCCACCTCCTCACAATGCTTCTCGACATCGTCTATGTGGTCGGTCTCATTGTCTGCGTGGTCGTCTACATTATGGCCGCTCAGCAGGTGGCACAGGTGATGGAGCAACCATCCAGTGACAATAGCACTCTGAAGAACCAGGTGGTTGCTTGGTTGGGGAACAAATCCTCCTACTACAATCTTCCCGGTACTGTGTCTTTTGTTCTCAATGAGACGGTTGTACTTCTGGATGAAATTGCTACCAATCTTATCAATACTATGAACAAGACGCTGGATGACTTGAAGGGTCAAATGAATGTGAGTTGGGCTATGCTTGAAATTTGCGATGTCCCTCATTCCATTTACGAATGAGGACGCTATTCATCATTGCTTCCCACCTGACAATCTCTGTATTCTCACCATTTCTGCTACTTGTACCCCTTATGATTTCACTTCCAGAGAAGAACAGCCTACTTGAGGTATTCAGCTGATTCAACCTCATGAGTTAAACTATCAAATAAGAGAATGGCTAAAAGATCTAACATCCAAGTCTGCCCTTCGATTTAGAATTGAGGGAGACCCTTAGGCTCCCATTACATGCCTAATGCATATTTGACAACTTGATGTTGACTCATGTCATATCCACCAAGTCGTATCTTAGGTAAATATTTGCGTAGGCAACACCCTTTCTGAGTGTTCGTGCGTTGTCTGCTACAATTTACAGATGGACCCATTACACCGATTTCTCAAGACAGCAGAGTTATCCGTCACCAGTGTTTTTGTGTTTATAATGATCCTTTGTCTTAATGAGTGTAGTTAACACCGAATCAGCGATAAGGTGTGAATGTGCTCACAGGTGAAAGACCAAGCCAGGAAAATGCAATCCAGCCTTACTTTGAACCACTAGGCTTTTGTGTGCAGCATTGCAAATCTTTATGCTATTGTCTGTGAGATCGTAATGAGCCTCAATACTTTAATTTTATGCTAAGAAAATTATTTATTCACAACCTAGTTTTCGTCTCACTTTCAATTTTGCTTTGTTTTAGACCACAGTCTTACAAGGTGCAACTGTCATATTCAATAAGCTCCAAAGTGTCACTGGAATCGACAAGGTCTTCAATGAAACATTCCGTCTCTCCATGAGGCTCACCGACCTTATGAGTAGTGTCAATGCCACTGCAGCTAACTACAACTCCACTATTAAGAACGTGGTTTCCCTCAATGCAACATTCGCCCAGTGTTATTCGGAAATCAAGGCCAATTGTACAAAGAGCAATTGCACAATCAGTGATGTAAGTGCCAGTGAGTGTAAACAATGCCTGTGCAGTAGCACTTCTCCTTGCTGACTGCTCTAATGCATTCGGATGTAAAAGCTCAGTTTGTTGGAGAATTCACTAAAATTGGACCGCATTTTGGCCAATATTTGCAGGTTCATGATTTGGCGTTGTGAAAATACTGCCTGATCTTAAAGAAAACAATGGTCGTGAAATTCATGGCACAGTATCGCCTAAGGGGTTTTCATCATCTTTATTTTAGACGGAGTTGGAAATACTCCTATTCAAATTCAATGCAACAGCAGTTGTATATCCTCTCGGCGCCGATGCACTACAAGCTATCGTCAATCAATTCAACGATTTCGCAGCAAAACTTGAAGAACTGCAGAAAGAAATGAATGCAATGCCAAGTCAATTGGCCTCAAACATCACATCCAACCTAAACTTTACATCACAAATCAACGACCTTAAATCACAACTCGATGGTGCGCTGAATGAAGTCAAACCACATATAGAAGACGTGGCTAAGCACATTCCACAATACGTTGATAAGGCTAGGCCCTACATCACTCCCGCTCTCTACTCACCAGCAGCAGTAATAGCCGTAATTGCACTCATCTTCTTCGCATGTCTGCTGCTGTTCGTCGCTGAGGCATTCCACCGCCGATTATTCTCTCCCACTGGAAAAGCGCCCTCCGAGCGTAGGTCTAACACATTCCTACTTTCCATCACTTAGTAGTGCTTCACCACTCGCACTTCACTCTCCCTCTTCCACTGCAGTTGCAGAAGTGTTTCGCGACAAGAGAAGGAGTCACATTTGTGGTGGCTGTCGCTTCCTCATATGCTCAATCCTCTTCATCCTTCTCATCATCTTGTCGCTGTTGGCTGCAGTCGTTTTGGTGGTTTGCAGCATCCTGGCTGTGGAGGTGTGTCCATATGTGTACATGGAAAAGGGAATGAATCAGAGTGACTACGTTCTGAACAGCATACTGGCTGGCAAATGGCCTGCAATACAACAGCAAAATGAACTCCTCGATGTGGCTCCTCCGAAGAACATCCTCTATGGTCTGAGTGTAGTCTGTGTCCCTACTAACAAAACTGATCCCAAATTGCTGCCAAGTCTTGGCATTGACAAGTTGGCGAATGTGACAAAGCTTGCGGAGAAAGAGGAGTTCAAAAAGAAAATTACCGACTTAATCAAGTGGGTCAAATGCATTTTATGGACCCTGTCTGATTTTGTGGCAATAACTAGTTTCCTTGTTTGTTGAGACCGAGTGATTCAACAATTAATAAAAGCAGCCGCTTTAAGTGTATGCAAACAGCTCACAGTATATGGTTCACCTCTCCAAAAAATTGTCATTGAATTTCGACACCCTTTCATGTCTGCCTACCTTATCCATTGATAACTCTTACCAAAGATTTGCCCAATTCGCGTAGTTGAATAGCCTTCCAGGGTAGAAATGACCTTGCGGAAACGCATGCACAGTCAATTGTAACTTCACTGACTAACGAGACCCTCATTCATTTTGTTACTGACGCTTTGAGCTGCATGCGTTATTGCACTGTAACAGGAATTTATGCCCAAAAAGAGATTTATACCAATATTTGCCAATCTTTTTAAAAAGTTCCCAAACCTAGCTTACCTATTTTGATTTCTGCAGCCAAATGGCTACTACAATTTCAGGTCAAATACCGCCAGATTTGCTTCAAAAATTGGAAAACATGAAGCAAGAGGTCGATAAATTAAAGACTTTTCTACAATATTATAATGCAGAGGTAAGCTTGCACTAAAGTATATCAAATGCATGCCTTCTGCACATATTCTCCTCTAAGGGAGTACTTTACGCATAAATTCTGTTTATGTATTTATAAGTACGCAAAACTGAATCAGCCTACTTATTTACTTGGCCTTTAGGCGCTGCTTCATGTGATATTTTCCCAAGTAACTAGTGTATCTCTGTTTGGCTGATTTTCCTGTTTCGTCAATGCTACTGTTAGTCAGAATACTTGTATGCCAAATGGGATTGTTAAGGCAGTAGACTTTTGCAATGAGTCATATAAGATGGTATATTAGATAAGAACTGAAATTATTAATTAGTGCTTCTTCAAATATTGAAGATATCTTAGCCAAATTCTTGTATTTTTAAATAGAATGCTGTCAAAGAACTGGCGAAGTTCACAGGTGTAAATATGGCAGAACTTGAACAGCTCCTCGTCAAGGTGAAAACCCAGTTACAAGGCGAACCTGTAGCTCAGGAATTAGAGGAAGCTATTAAGCAACTGAAAGAAAATAAAACCAAGATTGAGGTACTTCAAAACGCTTACCAAGGAATCGCAAACCAATCCACAATCCCCGATGATCTTAAGCAGTATATCGATGATTCGCAAACCACTATAAAGGCAAGTTACTTTCCTTTCTGTCTAAGCAATGGCATTATTGCCGTAGATCCAGTGCTTGCAGCATTGGATTTATTAAGTAACTTTATTAAAGAGAATGCAGTCAGTGTTAAACATGCTGCATGACTAGAAACAGTGTCGTCATTATTCAAAAATGGCATCATTGCATCAAGCATGGCATAGCCATAAGAGCGTGAGTTCACACTATCTAAAACAATTTTACATGCAACTAGGTCCTAATATACATTACCCTTAAAATGTTTCCATTGGAAACCACAACCCACTGAATGACCTGTGCCTTCTTCTCATTTTAGCTCCTTCAAAATGAAACTGAGTTGCAAAGCGTCATGCAAAAAGATATAAAGCCAATGCTATTGGACCTACTGGTAATGATCCTCGAAGAAGTCACAAGTGCATTGAATGGATTAGTGACAAAGATAATGCCCTGTGCCAACATGCACTACATCCTCGAGGCTCTTGTGGCAACCGGGTGCTCCTCCACCGGTCTCGTCACTCGATTCTTCGGGTGGGCACTGGCGCTCACTCTCACCATCCTCTTCAGCTTCCTTTCCTTCGTGGGTCTATTCAACCTCTGGTGCATTCAGTCCCACCAGATCAAACGCTTCTACGGCGCCTAATAACATCTCCCCCCACAATCCCGCACTTCACATGTTTCACGCAACAAAACGATTGAATTGTTGTAGTTTTGACATTACTCGTAACGAAGAAGAGACAGGAGATTGAGAAGTCAGGTATTTTCTGATCCCACGATTTCTTGACTCATGCTCATATTCTCTCCTGTCTCGTATTCCTCCACCTCCTTTTACTACCTTCTTCAAGGGGACTAAGTGCAGAAGATGAAAAGCGCTGCCAGCATTTGCTTACCTTTGCCACCTTCCCGATCCACTCCGAAATCATTGCAGAGCTTCCACGTAGGATTCCAAGTGGACGCATGGTTTGCAATGAGGCAACATTTGTGTGAGCATCCCATTGTCGTCAACAAATGCTACCATAGCTTTGACCATGACAACGAATAAGGTATTCGAATCAATCCCAGGTATGGTTGACGTGACTATTTGGGATGCTCTTAATTCACTTGCATCCTAAATGATAAGATTGCGGAGTCTTCGGTGTGTGTAGGTCGATCCTACCTGCCTTCTTGATGGTGCCTCTCTTTCTCATATCATAATGCTAACCTAGTGTTGGTGCTAGCAACGCTCGATCATCGTGAATAGTGATGATACGTCAAGTGGAAAAGTCGTCTCCATGACCAATGGATGGGTCGTGGAGACAACACAGCATGCAAGAATACTTGCGTGTTGTTAAAACCACGAACGGCTTGACTTGACCCATGTCTGAAAGGATTCGAGGACGAAGTGCGAAACTAACGCGTATGTTCTTAGTGGCATTGTTATCACCTCGTTTTGGCTACACTCCCAGGTGTGGGGGTTCGACTCCTGCCACCACGCTCTAGGTCAAGTGCATTCAGTCACAGA